AATTATTGAGACTAGCGAAAAATGTTTTATACAATTTTCGTCCATCGTCAAATACTTATTAAACGAGTGGACTTTGAAGGAAATTGAATAGGATCTTTTTTGTATCGTGTATTTTTTGTATTGAAACATCTTTCGCTATTGAATACCTCTCATGAAACAAGCAGACAATGATTACTTACCCATATGGAAGTAATTTCATCGAGGACGTAGATAATAATTTTAATGAGAATTTATTTCCGCATTGAAGAGTCTTCAATTGCGAGACCTGAAGGTGTAGGGGGCAATAAAAAATGGATACAGAAACGCAGGAAATTAATTAAATAAGATATCTGCATTGTACAAAGCAATAAGTTACATGTGAATCCTTCTTATTATTATTACTAGCATTATATTATTATCAATATAATTAAAGAAACCAAAGAAACTGAGTTCGCGTCGTTTATAATACAAACTATATATATAGACAACTTTTTATTGGCTACGTGTAATAGCGAAGTGTTAAAAAAGCGTACGATGCTTTTTTTTCATCTCAAGAAGTAAGGCTCTTTGTTGTATGTATGTAAGTATTTGTTCTTTACGGTTCGCGTTACGCTCATTACTTTCTGTTTCGAACTTCAAACCTTTATGCCAGGAACGCAAATCATTTACAACGATGAGCACACGTGAGGCAAAATTAAAAACTGGCAAATAATTATTTGGTTGAACGCAGTATACAAATTTTTAAGGAAACAGAATTCTCTACGGGGAACCAATTGAACAAGATAAAATATGTACGAGTCTGATTAGAACGAAATTAATATAAATAAATGCAGAGGACTTAAAGGGTTTCTTAAAATTATTCTGTAAACCGGATGATAATTAAAAGGAGATTTACTGTACTCATTATTGTAAGATGATTGCGAATCGAGTTTTCTCGTTTACTCTCGTTTATCCGCTTGGAAGACTGGAACGGTGTAGTCCGTCGACGAAAACTACTGTCGAATTAAATGTAGCACCAAATACGCGAAGTACAACCCGATTTACATTGACACCGGACTAGCATAAGATACGCTTTTGGTCTCCGAAACATTTCGGGATTTAAAAAAAAAAATAGCACACTCTGTCTAAGATCAACATGAATTTTAAATTAGACAGTCCTGTTCTCCAGAAGAGATATAAATGGAATTCTACTATATAAATGATTTAATTAATGCTAAAACAATCCGACCCTCCGTCGATTGTTTAAAATGATGAGGAACATGAATTTAAAATGACGGGCAATGTTTTAATATATTAACTATTCCGGTCAACGTGAATCGGGCGATTAGAAGCAGAGTTACAGATAGCCACGACATTGAAACGTTTCTTGATAATCGGAATTAGCACCACCTCTACAGAACTCGTGATCGTCTCACTTATTTTTAGATTACGTTTAAAACCACGAGTAAATTCATTACTGACGGATTTCGCTCCTCAGATTTTCTTTGTATACTTGTCTAGTACATCCTTATGCATACGCAAGCATACAGCGACTACAGAAGGTATCGGCGCAGTCGTAACTATTATTTTCTTAAATAAAAATGCATAACTTAAATAAACTTTCATAAGACGAATGAATTTCTTAAATAATACGTATTCATTTAGTAAAATACAAATTTGTAGTTTTATAAATGACTCTTGATACTTCCAATAAAGTATCGTTTATATTTCTGTTGAATACCAGACAGTAAAAATAAAATGACAAATACAACAGCAATACCTTTCGTAGTTGCCGTATGCACGACTAACGATTTGATTTAGACGATTGAATTTTGATTCGCTGTTGCGGCTGTCTCGCGAAAATTCGATATGACTGACAGTGACAACAGCTACCGTTTTTATAGTACGAAACTAACGATAAGTCTAGCGATTTTGACGATCGAACGTCTACTCCCTGTCTCTCCTTTTGATATCTTCCCTCGCAAGTCATTCTTTTGATTTCAACAAGTGTCCATCGATGACTCGCCGAGCGGCGATTCGTCGTCTACGCGTTGCTCGGCTAGCTTCTTGTCGTCCTTGCACTCGTCGGACTCCAAGTCCGACATCTGTTCGCATCAATCACTGGAACAAGATCGAGACAAATCATAATTTGATAACTGATATAACATTTCATTTAATAATCGATACGGTAATTAATTATAATAATTGGTATAAAAAATTAACGAGGTCTTACCTGTCACTGTTTTCTGTCGTGCCCTCCTCGCTGCAGTCAAGCTCGAGTTCTCCTTGAATCGCGCTCTGCAGGTCGTCGATTCTCTGTAACGCCAATCTGAGATCGTCTCTAGCGACTTTGGTCTCGGCCTCGGCGGCCTCCAGCGATTTCTCCAGCTCGCGTCGCGCGCGAGTCGACTCTTGTTCCCGAGCCAGCGCCGAGCTAGCCTCGTCCCTAGCCTCGCGAAGCGATCTCTGCAACCTTCGTGACGCATCTTGGGCGTTCTGTTCCTTGGTTCGCAGCAGCGCGCATTCCGTTTGCAATTTCTCTAAGTTTTCTTTCAATCTGGCTATCTGCGTCTGTAAAAAAAAATCACTTTCTTGTAAGTTCGTTCGATTTAAAATTGTTAAAATCTGAGAGATTGAACGTATCAAGTTGAGACGCAATAAAAACTTGTACATGAACTTACTTCTAATCGCGCCCTGGTCGTCTGCTCCAATTCCAATTTACTCTCCAACTCCTTGGCGCGGAATTCCAATCTCCTCGTGGCCAGACTGTTCGCGGTCGGATCGCCGAGCTGCTCGACGGACTCCAATCGTTGGCTCAATTCCGAGAGCTGATCCTTCAACGAGGACTTCTCCGCCTCGAGGGCAGCGATCTGTACTTGAGCTTCCTGCAACTGTGCCTGTTCTGCGGACACTTGCTGCACTGCTGCTCGATATTTCTTCAAAACCTTCACAATATAAAATGTTCAATTAATAATTGGTAAAATAATTTAAACAATAATTGATGTTACGAACGAAGAAGGTACTTGCCTCGGCTAATTCTTCCTCGTTCTCTTCCAACTGGGAGAGTAGCTCGGTTCGTTCGCGGTTGGCGACGTTAGCACGATCTTCGGCCTCGGAACGCTGCCGCTGAGCCTCCTCGAGTGAAGCCTGGGTCTCGTTCAGTTCCTGTTCGAGCGCCTGTTTCGCTTTGACTGCGACAGCCCTGGCACACTCCGCGTCCTCCAACTGATTCTTCAGCTGTCTCAAAGCCGCCTTGCCGGTCGAATCGCCCTTCGATCTCTCCAGCATAGTCTGAGCGTCCCTCAACAGAGCTTTGGTCCTCTTCAAGTCCCTCTTCAGTCTATGTACAAATTAATTGAAAAATATTAGCGAGAAATGAATAATTGTTTACATAATTTCAGTACAATTATCATGTACCTGTGCATGGTGTCAGCTTCGGCGGCGCGTTCGACACGATCCTGTTCCTCGATAGCCACGAGCCGGCGTTCCAACTCGTGCTTCTCGCGTAAAAGTATCGTCCTCTCCTCGTGCTCGTTCTCCAGCTGCAGCTCCAACGCTTTCACCTTCTTCAGCGCGTTCCCGCGCACGTCCTCGAGCTCTTCGTCCCTCTGCTGCATCTCCTTGCGCATCTCCTTCCTCTGTTGCTCGATGCTCATCTCCAATCTGAGTTTCGCCTGTTCGAGTAGCTGCACTTGACCCGCGAGATCGTCCAGCTCTTCTTCTTGATCCTTCGTCCGTTTCTCCAGCTCGTGCTTCGCCTTCTTCAATTGCGCCACTTCCTCTTCGGTTTTACCGCCGAATGTCAATTCTTCTAATTCCTGGCTGAGCGTTCGCAGCCTCTCCTCCTTCAACTCGATCTCCAGCCGAGCGTCCTGAAGCATTTACAAATTAAAAATGAAATTGAACAGAGCGAACGGAAGAAAGTTAATTTTATATATACTCACGCTGAGATTTTGTTCTATGGTAAATTTCTCAGCAATCGCGATTTCCTTCTCTCTGGCCAGTCTCTCCCGTTGCGTTTTCTCTTGCCGCAAGTCGTTCATCAGATTCTGCGTTTCAGAGTCGAATCTAAACACGAATTGAGTCATGTTTAAATACAGGAATAAACCCAACTAATGGGAGTTAAAAAAATATCTGTCCATTTCGCATCTCCTCTTTTCTATATTTGTTTTCAATTCAATTCTCTAAAGTGAACGATTTGTTAGCCTTTTTTCCTACAAAGTGGCAACGGGATACTAGTTTTCCGGGCTATCGCGATCGAGCAGTCAATTTATATATAGACCAGTCAATCACTCCGGCCTTTACTATGCGCACGACGGAAACCTCCAACCACCTCCTGGCTGGACGTAGCAAATTACCAGCCTGGCCGTTCGCCAGAAACACTTGTTGCGTACGAATTCAGAATAGAGCAGCCCTCGATATATACACAACCCGTGTACATGTGCGAAATTTTCGACGGATTTAACGACCGCGGAGCATGAAAATTTGTTTCAACTTCCAGCATGAATGGACGGTTGCGTTGTCCCTTTTCGCTGGGACAGCTGATTCATAGAATTGTTCATAGAAAGGGATATATTCACGTACTTGCGTTGCTTCTTCTCCAGAAGATTGTTCCTGGCCGTTTGCTCCTCCAGTAATAATCGCAAATCGTGCATCTCGCCGTTCAGCTTCTGTACGCGCCGCTTCCACTGACCTACGACCTGCCGCTGTTCTTCGACTTCCTCGTACGCATCAGCCAACTGAAACAATACATTAAACTTATTACATCAAATTGTATCATTGAAAGATGGTAGGAATCTCTGGTTAATGTAATAAAAAAATTGTGTGAACCTATTCATTATTTGTAATTAATAAATCATGTTTGTTGACTGTACCTTCTTTTCCAATTGCTTTTTGAGGCCAACGAGCTGTTCGAGATCGTCCTCGTGTTGCTGTGCCATTTTTCTCTTAGTGAACTCGAGTTCACGGACCGCATGCTCGTATCTTTGCTTGTAAACACCTCCATCCTCGCCGTCTTCGGCGTCAGACGCAACTCCGTTCAAATCCGCGGCTCGCGCGTACAGAAGTTCCATTTCCAAGCGTTCGGTAGTTTGCTGAAGATTCTTATGCGCCTCTGTCACGTCCTGCAGCTCCCTTTCCAGCCGCAGACGTTCGGAAGTCTCCGCGTCGATCCTCTCCGCCGCCAGCGTCGACGTCGAGTGCTCCTCCGCGAAATCTGCAGTCATCTCGCTTAGCTGTAATGAGAAATTATAAAAATCGTTCAACGTTTGTTTTATCCTGTACTTAATTATTGAAATGTTTTAAAATAAGTTGGACAATCTATAATTAATATCATTGATATAAAACGAAGATTGCAGAGCTCCAGACCTGGCCAACGCTATCAGAGATAGTTCTATCCTCCGAAGCCCTGGACACAGATCTCCTAGAGCAGCTCTTGCCGACGCTGTTAGCCCTGCTGTAATACTGATATCCTCTGATCATGATGTTCGTCGCACTCTGGCTTCTTCCGATCGCGCCTCCTTCGCGGAACACCGGCTGTGCCGAATCTACTCCGTTCTCCATATCATCTTTATGTCCGAGACTACGCCATTCGTCCATCACGTGATCCGTTCTTTTCAAGAACTGCGAGATCTTCGAGGATAAATAGGAGGACGCGGTGGTTGGTTCCATGTGCGAGGCAGTGGGCCTGAACGACTGTCTCACCCTCTGTTTCTCGCATCCTAATACGAAGTTCAAACTGGCGTCGAAGACGACTGGTGCTTGTTCTTTAGTCGACACGTCCTCTAAAGAGTCAGGGGACGCAGAGACGGGGAACGTTCTTCTAGGAGGCGTGGAGAAGTTCGTAGTAGACTCCAAGCTCGTATGAGTCCGCGAGGACAAGGTAGAAATGGATCTTGATCTACAGGACAAGCTGGACGATGCGCTGGACGGTGATGGGCTTCGCGTCAGGTTCAAGACTCTACTGGAGGGTCTCTTGAGCGGTGGCAAGGGAGGCCGTTTCCTCAACGGTTCCATCGGTTTCCTTAGATTCTCCATGATCGCGTCGTTCAGCTCGTTCGCCTGTTCCATCAGTATTTTACCGTTGTTCATGGTCTCTTGAAACGTCGACGAAGCTTGGATGGTGACGTCGGGCGACGTGGCGCCAGTATATATCGTTGGCACCGACGGCATTGCGATGCTTCGATTAACTTCCGGTTCTGTTCATTACTTCTTTCTCGTTTTTTGCTTAACACATGGGACTTTTGTTCTCGTGAACCACATCGTGGGTTTCTTTAATCAATTATATAATCACTGATCAGAAATCTTACTTCCGGGAAACTCGTACAATTATTCGATATTAACATTGATCACAATATTAATATTGAACATGAAT